TCCTGGGTCCGTATTCGGGGGGGCTGGGGCCGGACTCCTGGGTCCCGTCCCGGCTGCGGGGTAGATGGGGCGGGGCTGGGAGCCGGACTCCTGGGTCCTGTCCCGGCTGTGGGGTAGATGGGGGAGGGGCTGGGAGCCGGACTCCTGGGTCCCGTCCCGGCTGTGGGGTAGATGGGGGAGGGGCTGGGAGCCGGACTCCTGGGTCCCGTCCCGGCTGCGGGGTAGATGGGGGAGCCGGACTCCTGGGTCCTGTCCCGGCTGCGGGGTAGATGGGGGCTGGGAGCCGGACTCCTGGGTCCTGTCCCGGCTGTCGGGTAGATGGGGGGGAGAGGCTGGGAGCCGGACACCTGGGTCCCCTCCCGGCTGCGGGGTAGATGCGGGGCTGGGAGCCCAGTACCTGGGGCGATGGCCTCGCACCCCCAGCCCTGCACCTCCTGGTGACCGTGGGAGCAGTGATCCGGCGAAGGCGCCGCTCCGAACCCGCGGCTCCCGGGCAGGGCTCAGCTCCGGTGCTGCCGTGTGGACGCTCCCCGCAGCGAGGGAAGGGGATTCTCCCGCCGCACCGCGACCCCCCTGCGAGGGGCAGCAGGTCGCTGGGTGCAGGAGCTCTTTCCCCACCGGGCTGCGTCTGCGCGGGGATGGGGTACCCGAGGGCAGGGCTGAGCCCCCAGCGATGGCCCTGGGCTGTGTGACGCTGGGGGGCTGCTGCTCGCCACTCCCCCAGCTCTGGCACAGCACCGCCTGCAGCTCCGCGCCCCTCCGGTCCTGCCTGGGGCGGCTGGCGAGCGCCAGTGTGGCACGGCCCTTTGCTCTCCCGCGGCCCGTTAGGTTTGGCCTGGGCAGGACGTGCCTTCGGCTCTGTGCCACTCGCCGAGCTGGGCCCCGCCGTGCTCCCACCCCGCTCCCAGCTCAGTGCGGAGCAGCTCCTGGCCCAGATCCTGGGGTTTGTGCTGCTGGCCTCAGCCCCGTCTCGCTAGCCGTGGGGTGGCCCGAGCAGGGTGGGAGGCGGGGGGCTGGGCCCTCCACAGCTGTGTCTGTGGGGCTGCGCTGTTCCTGGGGCGGGGGTGCGCAGGGCAGTGCCCCGGCCCCTGAGCTGATGCCCCTCCACCCCAGAGATGCTACGTGGCTGCCGGGGGGCAGGACGGGGAGGTGCAGAAGGCTCAGCGGGCAGCCGAGGCCAGTGAGGAGCCAGGCCAGCGGCCCCCGACCATCTTCAGCAAGATCATCGACCGCACCATCCGGGCCGACATCCTCTACGAAGACGACAAGGTGATCCCCTGCGCCCCATTCAGGAAGGTCCTGTGCTGCCCTGCAGCCGGGCCTGCCCCCCGCTGAGCTGGGGGCCACGCTGCTCCCTGCCCTGGGCACACCTTGCTGAGGCCTTGCCCGCTTGGCTCCCAGCATGGCAGGTGGGGCTGAGGGGAGGATCCCGTGACCTGGGGCTGGGAGATCAGCTCCCTCGGAGCCCTTGGGCCGGGAAGGCCTGGTCCTGGGGTGAGGCAGGGGCAGGCCCAGGTCTCTGCCATAGAATCATAGAATATCAGGGTTGGCAGGGACCCCAGG